TAAAAGAAAAATCTCGATGTCCTAGTATGAAACTAATTAATTAATATAAATTACCTACTTATAAACCTAAGACAAGTGTAATTCTTTTAATAAAACGAGAAAAATCTAAACAAAATTCACTAATAATTTTCTTTTTTACAACAATTGCGTCACAAAAAAGAAGCAGAATTTGCAATTGATAGCAAAAATTATATTATATTTTCTTTTTTGAATATAATACATGAAATAAAATATTTGGTGGATAGAAAATTTTGAGACTCTAGTTGTCTTTAGTAGCTTTTGCTACAAGTGACAAAGAACTAAATAAACAAATCATGGCCACCTCAACTTCTTCCAATACAACCACCACAGTTACTATTGGTGCCGGTACTATGGAGGGCACTTTAAGCAAATGGACAAATGTAATGAAGGGCTGGCAATATCGTTTCTTTGTTTTGGATGAAAACGCTGGACTGTTATCATACTATACGGTAAGTAATCTGTTGAATAGCAATCAGATTATTACTTATTCTATTCTTAAGTAGTCTATGGACTAGCCCCTAAACTAATCTATTGATTATTATATTGACTATTATATCAACTAGTGTATTTGCCAGGTTTTTGACTGCTCTTTTTTATAGACTAGTTATTGATTTGTCTATTGACTAGTATAATTTAAATAGTCATACAACTAGTATATTGTATGTAGTATGAACTAGTCTAGTTTTTAGCTAGTCAACTGTCTATTCTATGAACTACCTACTCTATTGAATAAACTACGTCTCGTCTACTAACTATTCTATGGACTAGTCTGGACGATGGACTATTCTGTTGACTACTCTTTGAAGTACTATATAGACTTATCTATGAACTTTTCGTTTGACTACTATATGTACCACTTTTGAGTAAACCATAAACTATTCTGTCTTTAAATAAAACATACCGATGTACTAAAGAAAACTTTAAAGATATCATAACAGAAGACCATGCAAACTTATTAGAGAACTACCGAAATTAAATTTAAGATCAAAAATACATTAATATATACAACTCTACATAAGATAATTTGTTATGACAATTAAAATCATGACTAATACATTGAAACATCTAACACTGACTGAGTCAAGAACCTCTTACTTTTGAAAATTACTTCGCCACTTATTGATAGCTTTTGTAGGGTACCTTATTGTAGGATCATGACCGTCCTATATTTCTTTATTTGTTTAATATCTTTCACATTCATACTTTATTATTCATTTGTTTCTTTTACACTTATAATTTTTGCCCACAATCAAATATAAATGATGAACCGTTGAAATTCCATTTTATAAATAATAGATAACGTTTTTTTATAAGTGATTAAAATTTGTTTTATAAAAAATAAGATTCAAAAGTTTTAAAAATAAATAATATTGCCTGTAAAGGATTAAGCTGAAAATGTTCAGATAATAAGACATTAGTCATTTATTTGTAAATTTTGTTGAAACAGTTTTGAACAGTTTTCAACATATTTTTTGTAAGAGTAGTGAATAGACTAGTCAATAGAATTGTCCATTGAGTAGTCAACAGATCAGCAATAGTACAGTAAATAAACTAGCCTCTAGACTAGTTTTTTGACTGGTGTTGTTAATAGAGTAAGAGCCATTAGTTAGTTAGTATCAATACTAATTTAATCAACAGATTAGTTAGATAGGTAGATAGATAGATAGATAGATAGATAGATAGATAGACAGACAGACAGACAGACAGACAGACAGATAGATAGATAGATAGATAGATAGATAGATAGATAGATAGATAGATAGATAGATAGATAGATAGATAGATAGATAGATAGATAGATAGATAGATAGATAGATAGATAGATAGATAGATAGATAGATAGATAGATAGATAGATAGATAGATAGATAGATAGATAGATAGATAGATAGATAGATAGATAGATAGATAGATAGATAGATAGATAGATAGATAGAGAGATAGATAGATAGAGAGATAGATAGATAGATAGATAGATAGATAGATAGATAGATAGATAGATAGATAGATAGATAGATAGATAGATAGATAGATAGATAGATAGATAGATAGATAGATAGATAGATAGATAGATAGATAGATAGATAGATAGATAGATAGATAGATAGATAGATAGATAGACAGACAGACAGACAGACAGACAGACAGACAGATAGATAGATAGACAGACAGACAGACAGACAGATAGATAGATAGATAGATAGATAGATAGATAGATAGATAGATAGATAGATAGATAGATAGATAGATAGATAGATAGATAGATAGATAGATAGATAGATAGATAGATAGATAGATAGATAGATAGATAGATAGATAGATAGATAGATAGATAGATAGATAGATAGATAGATAGATAGATAGATAGATAGATAGATAGATAGATAGATAGATAGATAGATAGATAGATAGATAGATAGATAGATAGATAGATAGATAGATAGATAGATAGATAGATAGATAGATAGATAGATAGATAGATAGATAGATAGATAGATAGATAGATAGATAGATAGATAGATAGATAGATAGATAGATAGATAGATATATAGATATATAGATAGATAGATAGATAGATAGATAGATAGATAGATAGATAGATAGATAGATAGATAAGATAGATAGATAGAATAGATAGATAGATAGATATACAGTAGTTTTCCGATTTAACGAACCCATATGTTGTCAGGCCTGTTCGTAAAATTGAAAAGTTCGTTATATGCAGTACTAACTAAAACGTGGGTTTTTGGTAGGAAAATAATTAAAAATAGGTACATAAAATATTTTTTAAATGTATTTTTTAAAAATTAATTCTTTTTTTTTATAAAAATAAACACAAAATTCCGAATCTTATATACCCACCTTCAAACCATATTTGTGTCGAATTTCATCGCTGTATTTTTAATTCAGTCATGAGCGTTAAAGTTATTTCTCGAAGTTCATCGCTATACTCGTATTTTTAAGCGAGTAATGAGCGTTGAAGTAATTTTCTTAAGGGGGCCTGATATGGAGGGTAAGGTCAATTATGGACCGATTCCCATAAAATTTGTTAGAGATTTCGGTTAGTATAGAACATGTTTGAATCGAATTTCATCGGCGTACTCGTATTGTTAAGCGAGTAATGAGCGTTAAAGTCATTATCTGAAGTACGGACGGACATAGCTACATCGAACTAAAATTTAATAAGAATCCAGAATGTGTTACAGTTTTGGGTATAAAAGCACCGCTATTTGTTATTTTTGATAAATGTCATTTTATCTTCATTTAAATAATAATATTTTCATTAGTTCGTTAAACAGAGTACAAAAAACAAGTTTTGTTCGTTATTTAAGGTAGTCAATAGGAAAAATTAGCTTGTTCGTTAAATGCGATGTTCGTAGAATTGAATGGTCGTTAAATCGGAAAACTACTGTATAGATAGATAGATAGATAGATAGATAGATAGATAGATAGATAGATAGATAGATAGATAGATAGATAGATAGATAGATAGATAGATAGATAGATAGATAGATAGATAGATAGATAGATAGATAGATAGATAGATAGATAGATAGATAGATAGATAGATAGATAGATAGATAGATAGATAGATAGATAGATAGATAGATAGATAGATAGATAGATAGATAGATAGATAGATAGATAGATAGATAGATAGATAGATAGATAGATAGATAGATAGATAGATAGATAGATAGATAGATAGATAGATAGATAGATAGATAGATAGATAGATAGATAGATAGATAGATAGATAGATAGATAGATAGAAATGTAAATCCGTAGACTAATCAATAGACAATTCAAGAGACTAACCACAGGCCTCCGGTAAGTTAGTGGTTAGTGTTTTAGTCTAGTAGACCGGATGTGGTGGGTTCGATTCCCAACTGAGGCACTGGTTAAGGAGCGCACAACAAGCCCGATAGAGGCCTAGATGTATTTCTTTGGATTTGATGTATATACATCCTCCTTTCAAACTAACTAACCACAGGCCTAGTCAATAGGCTATTCTGCCGACTAGTCAGTATAGTAATCAATAGACTAATCATTAGGCTAGTCATTACATTATTCCAAAGTCTCGTTAATAAACTGGTTTTCAATCTATTCAGAAGTCCACAGTATGCTCAAAAGATCACTTCAGAGACTAGTCCACAGACTAGACTAGTCAATACACTTTTCAGTAGATTAGACTATTTTATAGAGGCCAATGGACACTATTCTATAGACCGCTCTATGGAATAGCTTATGGATTAAAGAAACGAAAAGTAATTTAGTACTATTTTAATATTTATATGTATTTGCCATCCGAAATCTCTTTCTCACTTTATACTAAGTTTGGAACCAAAAATTTGTTCTAAAAAATCTACTTATTTCATCACTACCGTTTGTAGCACTCATACTTGTCTTCATTCCTTATTTGACCCTAGGTTGAAATGTGAATGTTTCAGTTTTTTTGTGTTTCCATTTTATTTATAAACATATTATTTCATATGCTCGTTTATAGATAAAATTAGAACCTCATGTTTATAATGGTTTTCTTTTGTTGCAGTATTTTATGAACAAAAATTATCAACAAATGTGTCACATAATATTTTCTCTCAATGATAATTAAAAAGTAGATTTATAACGACAAATGATAACTAAAAAAGATTATTATTATCTTTATAAAAAGAGAGTTATTATTAAATATAGTGATTCATTAAGCAATAATTGCATTTCTCTTGGAAGTATTAAAATAAGTTAGAAGAACTTAGAAAATACTAACTTTTAGTGGCATCAAACTGCTTAGTTTTAAAACTATTTTCAATTTCTATATAAACTTTTTAGGTGGCTGGTCACCTTAAAATACCTTTCTATTTTATTAACCTTAATTTCCTTTTTATCTAATATTTTCCATATTTTATTTATCTTATCTCCTCTAAAGGCATTATACTTTTTTCTATATTAAAATAAGAAAAATACATTAAAAATATTATTTTAGATTTTTTTATTATTTGCCTATCTTATTGCTAACACAAACAAATAGTTATAAACATATACATATAAAAAGTAATGCAAAAAATTACTTAATTTTATTTTTTAATTTGTTAACACTTGGATTTGTGTAGGCCTTCTTGTAGAAATCATAAAAACCATAAAATATAATACCTACGACAACACAATGATAGACTCTCAATATGAAAGGAATTTGACAATTTGTCCACATAATAGCCGCTTGAGCCAATATGAAACAGAACTGTATCATTTGTATAATGGTTATGGATTTTTTAATCAGAATAAATTTCTTCATAACATCAGCACTGCAAATATTGGCAAAGAAGTAATACGTATACATGATGACATGAACCCAACTGTTCAAATAGATGGGAAATAAGGGGCCATTGCCTGGAAGGAAAATAAAAATTAAAAAATTAATAAAGTTTTAAAATTGCTGCAAGAGCTTGAACATTTTGCATACCTCTATAATATTTCAATAGCAAATATACTAAAGTAATAGTCGATGAATGATGGAAAACATGTAAATATGTTATTTGATTTTCTTTCTTTCTCAATACAAATATTATTGTATCTAATAATTCTACTATTTTCAACCAAAATGTAAAATAGGTTAATTTATCAAATAGTTCACTTCCCGGTGTGTTTGCTGAGTAGTATATACATTTATTGAAATTGAATAAATCCCAGGATAATAGACTCCATATCTGTTTGTGGAAGAAAAAATATGATTTCATTTTATGGTAGAAATTATTCTATTAACAGTCTTTTTAAATGCAACTTACACCATTTACTAGGTATAAACACGATGAAACTTGTACGATATTGTATATGCTCATAAATTGTTTTAAATTTAATGGTGGTCTATTTTGCATTAATCTGAAATTAGAGAAAGAACATTACGTATTAAGAAACTACATTTTAAGATAGATAAATAGATAGATAGATAGATAGATAGATAGATAGATAGATAGATAGATAGATAGATAGATAGATAGATAGATAGATAGATAGATAGATAGATAGATAGATAGATAGATAGATAGATAGATAGATAGATAGATAGATAGATAGATAGATAGATAGATAGATAGATAGATAGATAGATAGATAGATAGATAGATAGATAGATAGATAGATAGATAGATAGATAGATAGATAGATAGATAGATAGATAGATAGATAGATAGATAGATAGATAGATAGATAGATAGATAGATAGATAGATAGATAGATGATAGATAGATAGATAGATAGATAGATAGATAGATAGATAGATAGATAGATAGATAGATAGATAGATAGATAGATAGATAGATAGATAGATAGATAGATAGATAGATAGATAGATAGATAGATAGATAGATAGATAGATAGATAGATAGATAGATAGATAGATAGATAGATAGATAGATAGATAGATAGATAGATAGATGGATAGATAGATAGATAGATAGATAGATAGATAGATAGATAGATAGATAGATAGATAGATAGATAGATAGATAGATAGATAGATAGATAGATAGATAGATAGATAGATAGATAGATAGATAGATAGATAGATAAATACATATACATATGAAATATGATCATGATTATCTAAAACTCTACATTTGCTATAATTTTTGGAAAATATTTACATATGTTTTGGGATACTGCTATAGTTTACTGTAAAATGCTTTATTTCTCCGCCTAAACTATCTATAATCAATATGCAACATTTTAATCCCTTAAATCAATGAATTATTTAAATATATTATTTATACGTAGCAGACAAAATAATTTAGTGGTCACTTGCTCGTGTTCACAAAATCACATGTAAAATAAATGTTTATTTTAAATACATTTTATTTATATATTTACCTAAATACATATTATAAATATAAACAAATTCTACAATTTATTTATTATGATTTGCATTTAATTATAGGCAGACTAAATATTTTATAAAATCTAAAAATAACGTAATATTTATATAGCAAACAAAATTCATTGTATAAAATTTATAGCAACCGTTTTTTTTTTCTATTGTTTATAATGTTATCTAGTCATCGGCATCCTTAATGCGTTTATGTCTCTTTTATCGAGTTACGAATAAGTTTTACCCAGTTTTTTTCCACTATTTTATTGATGATATCTAGTTGAGCTTCAGGTTCAACTGATGCGTTGTTAAGGGTTCAAAAATCTACATTCAGTACAATTTCAGATATTTTCTTCATATATTCTATACTACCTCAACCAGTTTACTGACATTTTGATAACCGTAATCGCTGTCTGAATGACATTGTATTGATCATCTACTTATATCGTAAAATTTTGGATATATAAGTCAAAACTGCAAGGGTGAACATACTTCCATATCCCTTGCTGCAAGGGGCTCTTGTTTGATCATTACGTCATCAAAATAGAAAATGTATCAGGAAAAATACAGCCAGTCCATAGCACTCCCGTTAACATAGGTACTAAAGTTGACACAATCTTTTAATAAAACTAGAACTGAACTAGAACTGAATTAGAACTGAACTAGAACTGAACTAGAACTGAACTAGAACTGAACTAGAACTGAACTAGAACTGAACTAGAACTGAACTAGAACTGAACTAGAACTGAACTAGAACTGAACTAGAACTGAACTAGAACTGAACTAGAACTGAACTAGAACTGAACTGAACTAGAACTGAACTAGAACTGAACTAGAACTGAACTAGAACTGAACTGAACTAGAACTGAACTAGAACTGAACTAGAACTGAACTAGAACTGAACTAGAACTGAACTAGAACTGAACTAGAACTGAACTAGAACTGAACTAGAACTGAACTAGAACTGAACTAGAACTGAACTAGAACTATAACTGAACTGAACTAGAACTGAACTAGAACTGAACTAGAACTGAACTAGAACTGTACTAGAACTGAACTAGAACTGAACTAGAACTGAGCTAGAACTGAACTAGAACTGAACTAGAACTGAACCAGAACTAAACTAGAACTGAACTAGAACTATAACTGAACTGAACCAGAACTAGAACTGATCTAGAACTAAACTAGAACTCATCTAGAACTGAACTAGAACTGAACTAGAATTGAACTAGAACTGAACTAGAACTATAACTGAACTGAACCAGAACTAGAACTAGAACTGAACTAGAACTGATCTAGAACTAAACTAGAACTGATCTAGAACTGAACTAGAACATAACTATTAAAGGATTGACCAATCGATCAGTCCTGTTATGCTCAGTTGAGAAACATTCAAAGTAGCTAAGTTATACCCTATAGACATTAACGGGCTACTTACAATTTACCTCAGAACATCCAGAGTAGTAGAGGCATAACTTGCATCGGCTTGGAGCTTGTAGTCTGTGTACCCATTATATCCAACATATAAGCAACTGCTTTCAAAATATCTAATTGATTTCCCTAATAGTAGGAGGTAAATTGGACAAAATTCTGATATGATTAAGTGTCATTTTCTAGTAAAATATCTTATCAAGCAAGACACTAAAAATTATTCTTATTAAATGGTCAGATATCCTTAAATACTTTGCACTTCATTTCAGTAACGTTAGAATCCGAGGTTTTCCACCAATGTTTCTTCGTGTTATATTTAATTATTCTTAATTCCTTTTTATGTTTACTTAGTAACTAAATTTAAAGAAATATGTAATAGTAAACTTCACCAATCACGCGGAAGTATTCATATGTTAATATCTTTTACGCTAAATACAATTATAAACTTAATTAACTTTAAAATATTCGAACTTTAATGTTATAAACAAATAATTTGCACATTTTATGAGTTAATTTTGTGACCACTTTTTAAAATTGAAAACTTACCTGGGTCCTATTTTATATACAAATAATAAATATGATAAAATAACGGAAATTACAAATGTGGGAGAGCTTAAACCAAAACGAGTATCCACTTCTCCAGCTAAAAATCAAATAAAAACATTTTGCCATTATTAACACTTCTTTTTCTTATTAAATTTAATCATTTTTGCACTAACAATTAAAAATTGTATCTATTACAGCCTCCATTTTAACACTTTTTTTTTTTGTACAGGAATAATATATCCTTTTTAAAATATTATAAATATAGGTATTTTATTTATTTTATAATCCGTTTAAAAGTTTAGATATTTTTTATTTTGTTAGTACCGTTCCTTAACACGGCACACTAAAATTTAAACTAAAGCACTTGATAAACATAGAACCGGGGTTTTAATAAAGAATTGAAAAACATTTTATGCATATAGCTATATACAAATTCCAATATAAAATATAAAAAAACAAATATATATTTTAAAGACGGCAGAGCAAAAACTCATTTAAATTTTACACAAAATATAGTCGCATATATAAGTAAACGTACATTACAAATCGATTGATTATTTAAAGAGCTTAAATTAAACACAATAATTTGACAATTCGTAACTAATGTTTTGATTGTAATTTTAATTAAAAATTTTCTATAACATCGTTTTGGAAAAGTGAAGATGATGATGCTTAATTTTGTGATTTTCTGAGGTAGGCAATTGCTTTCAAGATTTAGGAGTTTATTTTTCGCAAATACTGTTGATATTACGCATCTTTTACACTTGATTGATATAGTTGAAGATCATACATTATTTTTTACGATCTTCCTTAATGTTTTAAGAATTATTTTAGAGATCTTCATTTTAAATAATGAAAAGAAATTAAAGAAATTGCGTACTATTTCCTAAAAGCAACAATTTGATTACATTTATTATTTTTGTAATTGCGCGTAAAATAACTTGCAATTTCAAATGAGAGAGATTGCATGAGAGAGAAAATAAAACTTCAATATGTATTTGTGATTATTGAATGGGAAAGAGTGAAGGCGGGCTGCAAATTACTATATCTGATCACAGTAGAGCTCGAACTCGAAGTTTAAACACATCTTCAGGCACGTTACAATGAGCTTGCTCGGCTGGTCCAATCCAACAGGCATGCACAAAGTGCAGCGAATCAGAGATATGAACCGATTCCTGAGGGAACTCTCGAATGGTTATAAAATAACTCAAAGGTCATTAACAGGTGTAAACGGTGGACCTGTGACAACAGAGGAGCAAATGGTTGAGCTATAGACAGTTAAGGTAATGTACAAATTGGAACGAATAATAATAGAACTAGCGAACTAACGACAATAAAGGAGCAACTGGTTGAGGTACAGCCTTGTAAGCATAGCCGCCCTTATCTCAGAGTAGACCATTATCTAGGAGGATAATGGTTCCTTATGTGAGTTATACGTGGACGAACTTATGACAATAAAGGAGCAACTGGTTGAGGTACAGGCTCGTACCTCAGTCCTCAGTGGAGGATCATTATCTAGGACGATAATGGTTTCCTATGTTAGGTAGTTAGTTAGTTAGTTAGTTAGTTAGTTAGTTAGTTAGTTAGTTAGTTAGTTAGTTAGTTAGTTAGTTAGTTAGTTAGTTAGTTAGTTAGTTAGTTAGTTAGTTAGTTAGTTAGTTAGTTAGTTAGTTAGTTAGTTAGTTAGTTAGTTAGTTAGTTAGTTAGTTAGTTAGTTAGTTAGTTAGTCCTCAGTGGAGGATCATTATCTAGGACGATAATGGTTTCCTATGTTAGGTAGTTAGTTAGTTAGTTAGTTAGTTAGTTAGTTAGTTAGTTAGTTAGTTAGTTAGTTAGTTAGTTAGTTAGTTAGTTAGTTAGTTAGTTAGTTAGTTAGTTAGTTAGTAGTTAGTTAGTTAGTTAGTTAGTTAGTAGTTAGTTAGTTAGTTCGTTAGTTAGTTAGTTAGTTAATTAGTTAGTTAGTTAGTTAGTTAGTTAGTTAGTTAGTTAGTTAGTTAGTTAGTTAGTTAGTTAGTTAGTTAGTTAGTTAGTTAGTTAGTTAGTTAGTTAGTTAGTTAGTTAGTTAGTTAGTTAGTTAGTTAGTTAGTTAGTTAGTTAGTTAGTTAGTTAGTTAGTTAGTTAGTTAGTTAGTTAGTTAGTTAGTTAGTTATTTAGTTAGTTAGTTAGTTAGTTAATTTGTCCTTTGCTGATCTCAAATCGAACCAATTACCTGACATACTACAACATTACCAACTAAAATAGCGGATGGTCTCCCTATTTAATAAAATTCTGGTCTCTTTCCTTGCACGAGCGCACGGGAGCTTTGTAGGGGGTAAGATGTCGGTTAGCTGCCGCTCAGCTATTCAGATCTAGCATCAAACTTACGAAGTGTTTCGCCATCGTCGGAAACTACAGGTTCGAAAATCTGTGTCTTAAAGACAAAAACTTTGCGTTCTAATGCCACCTTCTTGGTCTTGCAATTGATGCAAGCAGAATATAAGATGTCAGCTGATCCCGGTATTTTGGGAGAATTGCATCTACGAACGGAGGATCGGGTGAGGATATCAACAATCGCTAGCAGAAACAATTGGCCACCTAAAATATATATCGAAATCACCAATCATAATATGTACCTGGTGAAGAACAGGCCAGCAATCCCTATTTATTTAAATAAGGAGACACATATATAATAGACTGGAACCTGGAGCTCATACATTCAGTAGATAGTTTGAGGCCAAAGTAAACAGCAGTGACAAGAAGTCAAGGCTTTACCACAAAATAGAGATATATTTAAGAATATTATTGAGAAGCAATACTCCTTGTAGAAACAAACTAAACCATTTCTTCTTAATTTCTATTTTAATCGGTCAATTTTTATTTTTCTAACAAATACTTTTACTTCTTTAATAAAACATTTTTTAATATTTAATATAAATTCTACTGTTATTACTTTACTATCACACACTGTATTCATTAAAAGCCAAGTTCATACAAACAAGAAATATTTTTAACAAAAAAAAAAAAAAAAAAAAAAAAAAACAATTTTATATATTAATAAAAACATTCTTATTTATTATTGTTTTTACACATTTACCTAAGCAAAAATTACAAATTTTAATTAGTACTTAAAGTTAACAAAATGTTTTTTATATTTTTATTTTGCAGTCCAAAGAAAAAATGATGAAAGGAGTACGACGCGGCTGTGTTCGTCTGAAAGATGCCGTTATTGGTATAGATGATCAGGAGGATAATACTTTTACCATTACTGTGGATCATAAAACGTTTCATTTTCAAGTAAGTGTTAATATTTAATAAACAAAATATGAGATTATGTTGATAAATTATTTTTACTAATTTTAAAAAGTTTTCCATTGGACGGAATTCCCTACTTAACAAATTATCTATCCTACCAAAAGTACGTCAGTTTGCAAAACCTCAAACCACAAAAAAATTATCAAAATATTAATTACAAACCTGTACAGATATTTTACAGGATAATTATTGTTTTAAATTTAATTTAATTAAATTATATTTATTAAATTTCAAACATTTTCCATCAACCTAATACATATTAGCGGAATTCGTTTTTGCACAACTTATTTACAATATCAAAAATACGTCAGTATTTCTGACCACAAACTGTCAAAATTTAACAATAACAA